GCACCCTCTCCAATCTGGGACCCCTCGGGGGATGTCCAACTGCCTCTCACAATCCGAGACCGCTGGCTCCTAACCACTCACCTGCCTGCCTGCCTAATGGCCCCTAACCACCTCTGCCTTGCCCCACACCCGGGACCCGGGCTTCCCTCCCTCTGGCCGGCCGCAGGCACCCAGAACCTGGGCCGGCTGGCAGCCACAGGGACCGTGGGCAGGCAGCTTCACACGGGCAACAGCCGCAGGTGCCCGGGACCACGGGGCGGGAGGCTTGTCCCTCTCCCGGGTCGCAGCCTGGCTGGTCCCTATTCCTCTCTCGTGAGCTCATTTGTGCCTGGCTGGTCCCTATTCCTCTCTCCCAGTGTTGGGTGTCTGAGCAGTTACGGCATGATGATGTGACGACCATTTGCATATTAGCTCTTTATTATATAGGATATTATATAGGATATCAAGCACTAATTCAGTACATGGTATAGGTTGCGAGAGATATGAGTGTATTCCACAACATGCACAGCAACAGAACTTCAAATTATAATTGAGTCCATCCAAAAGTTTCTCTGAAATAGACAAAAATCTTAGTGGCTTCAGTTTATCATTTTATCAAACCCTTTATACACCAATCAGTGAATGCCTTTTAAATTACTCACCTCACCTTAGTCAATTCCCCACTATAATAATCACCATTTATAGAGAATACAGTAAGTTTTGGATGATATGTAGCTACAAAACTATTAGCCAATACAAATTAATTTTATGTACTATTGGTTTAAATTTCAATATATCCATCTGTGCCAGTGTAAAAATACACTAACACCCCAAAGTATAAAAAGATAAAATACTACTTTAAATAGTAATAGGAATACCAGTATTTTTAAAACAAATTCTCTCATTACTATATATATATATATATACATACATATATATGGTATAAAGATTTAAGACTCTGAAAATGGTTAATAATTTTAAAATAGCAAAGGAAATATAAGCCTTATTCACAAACTGGTTTTGCCTTAAAAGTCATTTCTGTATTTTCAAGGGAGAAATTCTACAGATGGCTGTACCACATAAAAGTATTTTATGAGATGGAACACAATGATAAGATACACCCCAAACCTAGACAATTCAAAGAGTTGTTTTTTTAGTTCAGAACTATGGTATTTCTTCCCCCTGCTTATTACCTAAATCATATTCAGAGCTGTGTTTTATATAAGGCTCACTAACTCTAAGCTTACACTCAGTGAAAAAGTCTCACCTTGATCCATTTGACATCTTTACCCACATCACTAGAATGAGACTATGAGAGTTAATAATCCTCACAAAATATTCCATTTGCTCTCCTACATTTCCTGGCAACCCTTGCATGTAGGAGGGGGTCACACAATTAGTTCTGTCCAATGAAATATAACTAGAAATGATGCTACTTCCAGGTTGAAACTGCTAAAAGCCTGTGTGGTTCATCAGACTCTCTTCTTACAGCAGCCACTTAGAAGGCCATGTGTTCTAGATGGTGCTGTCACAAAACAGTGGAGTTTCTGTAACCCGAGTCTGTAAGGTGAAGGAACTCCTGCAGACCTGCACTGGACATGCAATGTGAAAAAGAAACAAACTTTTGTTGGGTTACGTCATTGACATGGCGAGGCTGTTTGTTACCACAATACAACCTAGTCTACTCTAAGCACATCAAAAAACCATACTATGGGGGGGGGGGGGGGGGGGGTAGGACAGTATTACGGTAACTATAATACTGTCAACAGTAATATATATATATATATGCTATTCACCATCTTAAAATTATATACTCTCTCAATATGTCTAACTTTCTTGACTATAAAGTCTTTGAGATCAGGACACTATTTCCATCATTAAATAACCCTACTTAATTGTTCCTAAAAGAGGGAAACAGAAAGAAGGCAACTTTCAATGAACTTTAGAAATTTCCCAGTCTGTAGACTAATTCAAAGTCAGCAGTCACTTAATGGTCCACTCCAAATTCATAAAACAGCACCTATGCAACTCTACATAGTAAAGATTCCAGTTAATAAAGTACTGGCCAAAAGCCAATTCAGAGCTAAGCCATCCCATGCATATTATAAAAGAGTAATAGAGAAATACAAAGGATCAACACTGCTAAAGGAGACCTGGAAACTCTTCGGCCCTACTAGACCCGCCAAGTAAGATGCACACCTCTTCCACCCCTTCCCAAACATTAAAGTTAAATCATACCTCTTTAAAGAATCCTGACTCTCCTTGGGACCTCCCAAATGTACACATTCTATTTCTCAAAATAAAATGGGATCTTTCTGGTTTGGGGACAACTATTTCAAGCTTCTTTGGGATCACTACAAGAGCTCTTGGAGATTGAGAACCCATCATGATATGGAAAGATTGACCACACACCTTAAATGAAGTATGAATCTATTTTAAAAATTTGAATTACACATACAAAAACAACTTACAACAAGCAAAAGCCATAGCTAAATGTCCTAATGCCTGCTGCTTATGTAACTTTTGACTTATATAACAACATGGATTCTGAAGCAGCAAGACCAATTTCAACAGGAAATGAGTTACACAACACCCAGCAGTTTGCAGGAAGGCAGCAGACAACAGAGAAATTAAATTGTTCCTACTTCTACATCTATAATAAACCTCCCATGCGCCTTTCCCTAGTCTCACTACTTTCAGTCTCTCATTATCTTTAGCCCACTTCAGGTCTTTGCTACCAGACCCATTCTTCATTCTTGACACTCTGATCAAGTCGCTTCCTGCTCAAATTCCTTTAAAGCCCTCTCCTGCCAATCGCAGTCCAATTTCTCGCACCAGTGAGGGCTTTCCAACCCATCTTTCCCAGACTTTTCCCAAAACATGCCTTCCATGCAATACCTACTTCTCTGGCAAAATGGTTTTCTTACATACGAAGTATTCTTTTCTGTCTTTGTTCACCAAGCCACTCCTCTACCTGGAATGTCCTTTTCCATCTACTCTGCATACACAATTCTTCCCAAGCATGACTCACATGTCATCTCCTCCATGAAGCCTTTTCATAAGCTACTACGCCTGAGCTATTTAATATGATAGCCACTAGCCACACATGGCTAATGTCAGATGTTTAAATTATAATATTTGAACCAACATGTTCAAATGTTTGAAATCCCACAATGTTAGACCAACTTTAAGTTTCTTAAGTTATTTCCTTTAAAATATATATTAAACAGAAATCTAAGTAGACTGCATTGACTAACCAGTCCCTCGGGATGGTGGTGAAACTGAAGCATGCTTTAACTTCTAAGACTGTCTAACACCAACTTCATTCGGTGTCTCCACAAACTGGATTAAAAAAAAATGACCTTTTAATTTTCGTTTTTAAACTAAAGATGTTAGACAGATGCTGAGTGTGCATTTTCTCAACTGCTTCAACATTTTAAGCAGTTTCTGCTTTGGTTGACATGAAATTGCTTCCCCAAGCAGGTCCCATTGCCACCTTCTGGTCACTCAGTCCTGGGTTCTGCCAAGTAGTCCTGACAGTGGCCGAGGGCCACCACTGGGGACAGGGCCACAAGCTGGGTCAGGCCCTCTAAAGAATAAATTATAATATTTGAAATATGGAGTTAAATTTTTATAAAGTATTAAAATTAATTTCACTTGTTTTTTACTTTATAACTTTACCACAAGATAAATTTAAACTACATATGGCTCACACTGTATTTCTATTGGACAGCATTACTCTAAACTAAAAATATTCTCACAAAGCATTTCCTGTATACCTCTCTTACGGTTTTATCACATTTCTTTAGTACCAAAATTATTTGTCTATATTCCTTAAATTTAAATCCCTTACACCACCATAAACTCCTTGAGGGCATATCCCCCACAGTACCTTGCACATAATCAGTATAAACAAAATATCTGCTGAATAAATGAACAGATCCCCAAATGAAAAAACAGCAAAACTGCAACCTTGGTAGAACTCTCTCTTCTTAAATATTTCAAAGCACCTATTCTTCATAAGCACATTAAATCCTTCTTACATTTATACCTCATCCCTTATATTTCTGGCACCTACTTCAAAATTAGTCATGCCTCTACCCTTACTCCATAACTTTCAATGACTCTCTTGGCTACTCCATCAAATCTAAACTCTACCTGGCTTTCGAAGTCCTTCATAACTTGGCTTTTCCAGACCTGTTAAGACTTTCTCTTCCAGTATTCTCCAACATGCACCTTTCTCCCAGGCTGGACATCACTGAATACTCTATAAATGCCATGATCAAACATGCCTAAAATTGCTTCTGAAGCGTAGTCTTGCCCTTATCTCTAGTTTCTCTTTCCATGGTTTCAGTTACCGGAAGTCAAATGCAGTCTGAAAATATTAAAAAGAAAATTCCAGAAATAAACAATTTGTAAGTTTTAAATTGCGAGCCACTGTGAGTAGTGTGATGAAATCTCATGACACCTGGCTCGGTACTACCAGGACGTGAATCATCCCTTTGTCCAGAGACTCTAGCCAAAGACATTACCTGCCCGTTAGTCACTTAGTAGATGTCTCCATTATCAGATCAGTTATAGAGAGAAAGAGGAAGACCACATTCACATAACTTTTATTACAGTAGATTATTATAATTGTTCTATTTTGTTACTAGCTATTGTTGTTAATTTCTTACTGTGCCTAATTTGTAAATTAAACTTTATCATAGCTATCATTATGTAAAGGGAAAAACGTAGTATATATGGAGTTTGGTACTACCTTTGGTACTATCCACAGGGTCTTGGAACATAACCTCCGAGGATAAGGGGGAACTACTATAGTTCATTTCATCTAGAATGTCCTATTCACTTCCTGTCTATGCAAACTCCATCCATCTAGGACCAGAAGGCCTTCCCTGATTACCCCATCCCCAACTTATCTACCTTGCCTATGAACCCAAATACACCTGTAGCCTATTACACAGTCTAGGGTTTCTCTATACCTCATTCTATGTCTTCTATGCTAAAGATGATGAGCAGTGTGCATGTCCTCAAAAGAAAAGCTTTACATTTGTTTCTCATTTAATGCCTAAAATAGGCCAATCACAAAATTAATGCTCAAATAAGTATCTGTGAATTTTTTAAATAAATCATTACCGGGAGAGCAGAAAGAACACTGGCTACATATATGTGGTATGGTGGAAAGACAACAGGACTATGTGTAAGAGCAGGATCTACCACTACACAGCCACATGAGCTTATTCAATCTCACCATCTTCCAATCTATAAATTGGAAACAATAGCTTCTACCTCAGAAAAGGTGGTACTGTGAAGATGAGGGGCAGAGAATTAAAGAATAAATACATGGAGGGGGGGTGTCAAAGGAGGAAAGGGGACAGCTGTAATACTTTCAACAATAAAGATAAATTATTTAAAAAAGAATAGTAAGTACAAAATTTTTTAAAAATGTATAGTGCATATCATACCTCTCAGAGTGCCTATACATCACAAAATATGAGCTTGGAATTTTTTTTTTTTAATATACAAACCATGAGAAGGAAAAGCAAGTCCAGATTAATCCTGTACAGGAAGTGAATATTATAATGTTTACATTATATATAAGACTTCACCCCTCAATGTCCTCAAAATGGACACAAATGTTAACTGTAAGTTTTATTCAGTAGTTCCTAATTGAATTTTCTAGATGTTAGGTTTATAATCAGGACTTACTTTTCTTCTGAGACTTTGAAGAAAGGTTCCAGACCAAGATAAACGAGAGCCTTTATTTTGCCTTCTAAAAGGCCTTAAAAGACTGCAGTCCGTCATCAGGCCTGGCACCAACAGCAAAGTCAAGATAGCAAAGCAGAACAATTTATTAGAGACCGAAAGAGGTCTAACCCTGCAGTAGGCCAAAGATTTCCTTGTGCCGGCATAGATCAAGAAGACACCAACATGCTCCAGAACGGGATTGCTCAAGCACAGCCCTATAATGACGACGGCTGTCGGGCTGTTCAAAGCCACTAGATGTGGCACTTCAGAGGCAATCTAAATATCCAACAGGGGAGTGGTTCAAAGAGAGAGAAATGTTACAAGATTACATGGCCATCAAAAGAAGAGATTTAACCCTAGCCAGTTTTTCTCAGTGGGGTGGGCAAACTTTTTGACTCGAGGGCCACAATGGGTTCTTAAACTGGATCGGAGGGCCGGAACAAAAGCATGGATGGAGTGTTTGTGTGAACTAATATAAATTCAAAGTAAACATCATTACATAAAAGGGTACGGTCTTTTTTTTTTTAGTTTTATTCATTTCAAACGGGCTGGATCCGGCCCTTGGGCCGTAGTTTGCCCACGGCTGGGTTAGACCCTTGGACTGAAGGGTCCTGGGTTTGGTCAAGGGCATGTACCTCGGGTGCAGGCTTGGTTCCTGGCCCTGGTCGGGATGCATGTGGGAGGCAACCAATGGATGTGTCTCTCACATCAATGTTTCTCTCTCTCTGTTTCTCCCCCTCCCTTCCATTCTCTCTCTCTCTTAAAAAAAAAAAAAATCAATGGAAAAAAATATCCTTGGGTGAGGATTATAAAAAAACAAAGGAAGAGCCTTAGCCAGTTTGGCTCAGTGGATAGAGCGTCGGCCTGTGGACTGAAGGGCCCCGGGTTCAGTTCTGGTCAAGGGCACATGCCAGGGTTGCGGGCTCGATCCCCAGTGTGGGCTGTGCAGGAGGCAGCCGATGAATGATTCTCTCTCATCATTAATGTTTTTATCTCTCTCTCTCCCTCTTCCTTCCTCTCTGAAATCAGTAAAAACATATTTTAAAACAGTAAAAATATACAAAAAAAAAAAAGAAGAAAAAGAAAAAGAGAGAAGGGATTTAATGTCATAGAAATATCTGTTAAAGAGATATAAAGAAGGGGAGGGTAAATGTGCATCACAACATTTCATCTTTGTAAAGTATCTCCTAGAAAACATTATGAAGAGTAATTCTACAGATAGCCATGAAATACCAGTGGCCAGAAGGAGACATTTAAGAATAAGAAAAAAATAAAAAATAAAGGGCTCTCTATCCATTGTTAATCGATGTTTTCTTTTTAAAAAAAAAAAGCATTGCAAAAAGCAAGAGCTGAAAATGACAGCTGTGGCTTTTGGAAGTATTAATTTTCACCTATGTTGTGTTTTCAAGGAAAACAAATCCTCAATTTAATTGAATTTAATAATTGTTGTAAGTTTAAAGCGAGGATTCTATATTTATTATGTGTCAGGATTACTGAAGCTCTAATACAAAACAAATCTGAGTGGGATCTGACTCACGTTGGGTGACCTTGGGCATAGCACAATGGAAAGCCCTACATACAACAAATCTGAGCTTCTAAAAGAAATTAGGTGACTTTTAAAATAACTTTTCTGAATCTCCGTTTCCTAAAATGTTAAAAGGAGACATTTATAACTAACAAACAAGATGGTGTAGATGAAATGAGAAGACAGCACATATCAAAGCTGCTCCTTGGAGAAGGAACCAGGCTAGAATGAGAGGGAACAGGTGGTTTAAACATGACTGGGTCCTGACTAGCTTTATGGGTTGGGATGGGGTTTTATTCAGAAGAGAAAAAGGGAACTCCTCACAGAGACCAAAAACATAGATGCATGAAAAAAGTACATTCTGTTTTTCTAGATGAATGAGAAATCAAAGGCCAAGGTAGATACAGAAATGAGAACAGTTATCAATCTAGAGAGAGGAAACTGAGAGGAACATCTTAAAAATCTAGGCTCAAAAGTTTGCATGGGGTAAGGAATTGACAATAAATTCTGAAAAACATTCACAGATGTACCATTCCAGATAGAACACCCATAGCGCCATAAATAAAGTTACAGCTCTGCAGTCATTCCGCTGAACGAAGAAGTGATGCCAAGCTCCTGCAGGACAAGGATGGACTGAGGAAATCAGTGGAACCAGGTGGTTAGTGGGTGTCACCCAGTAAAAGTATTCCTGGCTCTTAAAGAAAACTACTCACTGAAAATCACCCATTCTAAAAATGTCTGTGCGCCATTCTACACATAAAATTCAGAGTCCTGTAATAAATTTAATTCCATTCAAACATTTGCAGGCTCTTTGATAGAAAATGAAACACAGCATTTCTGAAATACCAAGTCATTAGCATGATGTCCAGAGAACATGATTGTGGAGGGAAACTGCACTTCTATTTGAAAATCCCTTGCCTCTCTCACATCAGTTGTTGAATATCATTAACTGTGTCCAATTAGTCAAAATTAAACCTAAAACAATGGAGGTGGTAAGTGATAAGCCCAAGGTCACACAATGTGAATCAGTGGCAGGTGACAATAAACTGATCTCCTGGCTTTAAGTGATTGATCAAAAAAGACAATATACTAATTATGATCCATAAAGACAGCCCAATTGGTCGACCTTGGGAATCGGGTTCAAAAGCTTTGGGCCCACCAACAAAATGGGAGTGACCCAGTCCAATTGACCAGTATCACACATGAACTCCAGAGGTTATTGGATCTCTGTGAGTCTTTTTTTATCATGCATTAAATAGGCAAACCAACTTATTAATAGGGCTTTTGTAAGGAATAAATTTGTTCCCAATAGAAAACATTTAACACAGTCTCTGCACTCTGTAAGCACTCAAATGTCAGCCACAGTAGATTCCATATAAAAGTCTAACAAATGGTCAACAGTTGAAGAGAGACTTACATGCCTCATTTCTTTTAAATTCAGACAGCTTTCCTCAAAGTCTTCTATAAAGAAAAGCATGCTCATTTACCTCTGCTTAGTTCTACAACAGCAGTTATCACAGTTTACTGTAAACGTCTGTGGGCTCCCACACTGGATTGTAAGCTTCAGGTAGGAACCTAGACTTTTATCTGTGGTGCCCAACACATAGCACAATGCCTGTTCATGCTGAGTATGAAACTTTTTGATCAATTGATGCACTTTTTTGAGGAACTGAACAGGCTGCTATTTCTATTTCCTATGCAGGAAGACCACATCTGTCCTACAAAATACAGACTATATTTCTACTCTGTCTTAGGTTACTTTCATTCTTTTTTTTTTTTAAAGATTTTTATTTATTTCAGAGAGGAAGGGAGAGAGAGAAAGAGATAGAAACATCAATGATGAGAATCATTGATCGGCTGCCTCCTGCATGCCCCCTACTGGGGATTGAGCCCACAACCTGAGC